CCAGCAACTCCAGGACCACTCCAAAGTCTTGCCTGAGCTGCAGTGCCCCCTGCAGGCTGAAGGCCGAGGTACAATGTGGCCACCTGACCCTCTTGTCTCTTCAAACTGCTCTACCCCAACTATCCCCTTCCCTTTTCCAGTTCCATTCATCCCTCTGCCCCTGCCTCCTTTTCTCCCTACCTGAACCGGATCCTATGGGCAAGGATGTGGTCAAGCCAGGCACCCAGGGTGGCTGTCAGTGCCTGGCCCAGGGCAGGGGCCTGGGCTTGGGGTGGCAACCCCTGCAATCCTTGCAACACAGGTTCCAGTATAATGCGGACCACCAATCTGGCATACTCATTAGGAATACTTGGCAGTTCTGGAGTCACAGAACAGAAAGGACAGGATATAAGGATATAGAGGTCCTAATGGAGTGTTTGGGGGAAAAGAGTAAGATTTCTAGCAGGGGAGGTGGGGCACAGGAGGTAAGGACCGGGATGGAGAGAGAGAAATGAAACCAGGATTTGGAGGGGTTGGGACACTTTTACCCCCCTGGGAACCCTGGGGATGCTGGAATGAGTTACCAGGACAGAGACGATGCTGCCAGTACCGACCCCTTGGCATGTGAAGTTCGAAGCCCTGTGTAGCTTGTTTATGACATTCTTGAAAAAAGAGACTTAATGACTGTTCAGGCAGGAGCTGTGGGGATAGGGAGAAGGTAAAAGGGGTTTATCTGTTATGGACTTGTCAAGTTCTGGTGCTTTTCTAAATCTGAGGTATTTAACCAGGCATCCATACAATCCCAGAACAGAATTGTACACATAATTGTATAGGCTCAGGCATTTTCTGAGGAGAAGTGCCATATCTTTTATTGGGTTTTCCAAAAGGTTTGGACCCAGAAGAGATTATGGGAAATTGCATCAGGATTACCCTGCTCTCCTCAGCTTGGTTCAGAAGATGGAAATCGTCCAGGTTAATTTTCTTTTACAGGGAACGTTAATGGGAAAAAAAGAGAAAGACACCCTCACCACCACCAATGTTCAAAAGCAAATGCTGGGGACAGGCTGAAGAAAGAAAGATTTGTACAATCTTTTGGCTGTCATGTATGAAAGAAAGGAAGGAATTGCATGTAGACAAAGAGTAAAGACTATAACTTTCTGAGATTCAGGAACTTTTGGGAAGTCCTTACACTCAGTATTCTGACAACCCACTTGCATTTCTCTAGAGCATTGTAACCTGTAAAGCAAGAAAAGGCCCACGTACTGGTTTGGTTTCTTTGGTGTGATAGGTTTTGTTTTGGGAGGGGGAGAGGACGGCAAAAAAGAGGGGGTCTCTACAATCCATTTTGGAGAAGAACCCCAAGAAATGGGACATGTGGTGGCAGGTCTGTGAAGAAAAGACGATTAGATGCCAACAAGCCTGAAGAGAGGAGGGGGCCTGGGGGGCCAGACATGGAGGTTGGGGTGGAGCCCATGTGGCTCCTGATACATATTCTGACAACAGCCTATCTAAATCCAAACTCTTCCTCTCTTCTTCCAGAAATCAGCACCCCCTTGTTCCTTATTTATGTCAAGGAAATTACCCCTCTTTCAACTGAACCCTTCATTCAACACTCCAGAAATACAAGGTCACACACTGAGACAGTCTTTCTTTCTGGGACATTACATACCAGCTGGGGAGAAAAATCACAACATTGAATTATTCTTTTTCATCCCAGTGCTGTATGTGGTGGAATGCCCAACATTGCAGATGCCCAAGAGTGCAATCACCAGGCAGAGAAGCAAAGCATCAGAGTGCTTTGCACAGTGTTTGGTTCACACGGTGAGCACATTGTCCCTGTTCCTTTTGCTGTCTTCTCACCACAACTACCAAGAGCTGGACCCTTCTCATCCCTTCCATCCTGACCACTGTAGCTGGATCAAACTGTCATGGTCTTCACTGTCCCCTTACAGCTCTTACAATGGCTCCCTATCACTCTTGAGATAAAGCCCAAAATCTGCGGACTGGTTTTCAGTGCCCTCCACATTTGATGCCAACTTGCTTACTCTTCCACAGTCCCCGACCCTCACCCCAGATGTGTGCATGCACGCACACATGCACGCACACACGTGCACACACAATACACAAAGGGAGCTTCTGCTTTGGTCAGGCCATCTCCCCATGATTCCCCCAGGAAACTATGAACTCCCCACCTCCAGTAACTTCTGCCACTCATCTGAGGCTGCCTAGCCACCAACTTGAGCCAGAGGCCTGGTACGGAGCATCTGTCACCACATGCCCATCTCAGAGCTCCAAGGACCATCACTGTCCACCCTGCTCATGAGGAGCCTGCTTTGGGACATGTTGAGTTGGAGGAGGCAACAGTAAATTGAGATGGCAGATACAGATGGTAGCTTAGGGCTAAACTGGCAGGGGTGGAGGGGAAGGTCCACAGCACCAAGGCACTGTGAGTGAGCAGG